CTTTTCTCTACAATCAATAATTCTCTTAAATTATCAACTTTATTAAACGAAGATTACGATGGAGTAAATGTTAGTTGGTTATTAAATATTATCACAGTATTAATATTTACTTGTCGAGATTCATGTTGGTCACAAACAGCAGATGATTGGGTAGAAGAATGTGTTATAGTTCAAACAGATAAAAATGTAACTAACATAATCTGTCCGTCATAATAATAATGATTAGTCTGTATATATGTATTATATTGTATATAATCTATTGTCTTAATATTGCCAATAAAATTATAATATGTACCATTAAAATAGCACGCTTTCTTCTTCAATATCCATGTGATAAAATTGTTTCTTACATTTAGTTTGAAAAGTAATTTTCATCGTGAACCCTTGAAAACGAAAATGCAATAGTGAACTGACTCTCCTTAGTTTAAAGCCATTTAGCAATCAACCCTCACGTCTTATCAGATCAAATCGTTGACGTTCAGATATCTCACGAATCATGACACCTAACTACTGTGTAAAATTCTATAAGTCATAGATGTCCTAACTTTGGTCAATTTACTATATGTCCGCATACTTTAGATGCATACTGATGTGAAGTCGCGATTCCGAATAAGATAGCTATCTAAAACTTTATCGTTTCCAGTCTTTGTCTATCAAATGTCAGCCGTAATGGAAATCGCATTCTTTCTCAATTATTAGTAATCATGTCTTGTCGTGATGCTCTTGAAATTAGAAACAAAAACATGCTCCCAATAAGAATTTTTGGCTCAACGTTGTTGAGTATGTATTTGTAATTGGAATGCAACCAGATACAATGCACGCCAATTCTAGTCTTTTCCACTAATTATGGCATCGTTACTACTCCTAATACTATGTGAATTGTCTTAAAATAATTTTATCTTGGTGTGCAAATCTGGTACGGCAACTTAAATGAATGCATATATATATCAAGTTCTAGGTTGTGTATGTTTGACTGACTGCTATCAATCTGAGCAACAACACTAGGGGATTCATTCAAACAAATATTTAAATTTAATGCATTACTTCCTTGTGAGACAATAAAGCCCAATTATATGTGACCAACAGCTCTATGATTGCCATTCAACATACAGTGTTAGACTTTAAGTTCATAATACTAACTCACCAACTAAGTATGGATCTCTCTACTTGAAATGAGGCGATACTGATTGTAAGAGCTGCATTAACTTAGTTAAAACAATCTAAACGATTTATGCAACAATAATAAGTATAAATTTCTTATTACCTCTACATTAATCAATACTGTCCTCAGCAGGTAATACAAAATCTGTGAAATACTAACTCGCTAGAAGCAGGCTTGTACTTTCTCATATCCGGTGGCAACGCTTCTTAGTTAGTGCTGAAAACCATCAGCGTGTTTGGGCTGTGACAATGGTTCAATACCTCAAGACACTAACTCGGTAATTTGACATGCACAACAAATATTGTCCCAGAGAATTTCACATCATGTATTATTTGTCGACGCTAAGATTAGTTGGAAAAAGTAGATAGGTAGTCAGTTTACGACAGCGCCACGGTACAAAAGATAGCTGTGTAAGACTGGGGTTCTGTCGGTTTATCACAACTCCTCAGTTTGGGTTCTAGAAACGTTATAGACTCCTATGAAAAATCCTGTCACTATATTTCCTGTTAAATATGTATTTATAACAAAAAGTATAACATTTTGTTTTATTCGAAGATTAATTTATGGGTAACTTCCGGGAACTATTAATAGACTTATATATTATAAGCTTTCATTCGACCTACTGGCTACTCATACGATTTACCATTCTTAAGTTACAATCGCTCACACTCAGCCACTTTTGGCTTGATCTTGTATAACTGAAAAATTTTAATTTTATGGTGTGTTGCGATCTGGTTTGCTTGTATATAAACTAAGTATGTCTGAAATATATTGTTCATACAATAGAAGCTGAGACTATGTTCTGGACTGAACGGGCACGGCTAGGCGAGAAATTACTATTTTGAGGACCAATAAGAATTCAGAGTTGACGCAAGGCTGCTAGTGTTGGTTGACTTGACATTGGTTTAGCACAGGAACAAGGTAATGTAAGTCGATATTCTGATTGACGATTTTGTCACGTGATAACTGAGAGGGGCAAAAGACATAACACATATAAGACTAATTTGTTTTCTTATCAAAATATAATCGGAAAACATTCCGATGATTAGTGCACTACTACCTATGGCGGTTGTCATACAAAACATTGGATTTCAAATGTTTTGACAAGCAATAACATTAAATATGGTTTCTAGTCAACGCATATGTACATCAATAAGGATTTATATCATGATCAACATCACAGAACGATCTTGGTTAAGTGAACAGAAAACACTAGGACTGTTCAGTTGTACGCATCGACGACCTTGCTTCTACCCACGACTATTGGTCTCGCGTACGAACGCATAACCTTTAAACTGCTGAGTCGATACTCAATAGTCTACGTGTTTAACTTCAATCAATTCGTAAAATCGAGAAAACTACATTCCAATGTACTTGGAGACTAACTACCTAACATTCAAACATGCGTGAACTCGACTTATCTGTTTCTCATTAGAACTACAAAATTACCTTTTGAAATATCTCCCTCGATGAACGCCAGTAGTTATTTATTTGTTTAAACACATAACGATTGGTACAAGAAGGCACCAAATAGATATGCGCCACAAATAAATCATTCGATTTGTGCGAGGGCTGGTATACCGCCCGGGTACCCAAACCGAAGCAGGTGATTTTCTTAGTGGGCCATACGCGGAGCCTTTGACCTAAAGGTCTAATCCATAAGGCAGTAGGACAATGTAAGGAGATACAGTCCCATGGTAGCCGGTGACCAACGATTGGTTCATACGCCATTTGTTCCTTTAGGATCCTGGAGCCCATATGCACCACTGGTTTGAAATCAGTGTTTTCCGCCAAACTGGTTAAAACGCCAGACATTCACTTATTGTCCTCTCATTTTCGTAAACAACACCCCCGTCTCGTGAAGGCAGTGAGTAGGATTGTATGCATGTGGCCATGTGACAGTATATTTCAAGAGAGTGAGCTGACTCTCCTCACTCTTGGTCGTACTAAGGCATTTGGGGTCCATACCATAGTTCACTAATTATCGAATTCACATACAAAACGTCAGATTTTAAAAGGTTCATATAATCATAAATAATATTAGATGTCAGTCAGTCAGCTACGACGTAGGACCAGGCACATATATGCATCAGTCCAAGTTGCCATACTTCATTAACACAACAAGATGGATACCGGATTCATAAGAGTAGTTAATTCAGTTGTGGTAATATATAAAAGAAAGTTTGCATATAAGGATATAGTACAGGAAGAAAGAATTAGTTAGTAGAAAGAAAGATATGAAGTGATTTTAATCTCACAGTTTAAGGGAAGACAGAGAGTGTATACACCGACACCATTGTGATCGATTCTGAGCCATGTCACCAAGAGTCTCCAACCATTGGTTACGATAGTCACGCGGACCCCAACCAAGTAGTCTACATCTACCAGCATGACTCAGATTAGAAGGTAGTGATTTCAAGCACTGATGCCACGTTTTGGTTTGGCCACCCATAACTTTTTTCCAACCATCCGCTACACCGGTTAGCATTGCACGTCGTGGTAATCGGTGTTCAGGCATACGTAACACGGCGCAACCATCTCAGTCGATGAAGATTCACAACCTCATCAACTGATTTACCATCATCATTCCCTAATACCCTGGTATCCAACTTCACTATTACTTACCCGGTGATCCCAGCAGACGCCAGCAATATTTCAATATTAGATGTATTCTCTGATTATCAACCTCACAAAATCTACTTATTATCTTTTTTCTTTAATTTATAAGATTCAAAAAGAATTTTTTTTCTTTTCAAAAAAAAAACAAACAAAAAACGCACTATGGGAATTGGAAATAATTTTAATAATCATTATGTAAATAAACACTAACTGAAAAAGATTATCATCAATACTTGTCAAATTGTATTATACTTACTATTGTTATTATCACCATCGTGATTATGATTATTAACAGGAGTAAAATTAAGCAAATGAGAAATTGATTATTGAAAGAAATGAACAAGAATAATCTCATTATTATTATTATTATTCCTTTATTACATTTGGTCATTAAATTAAAATGAATCAGGAAACAAGATGAAGGACCAAAGGAGTGTGTGTGAGAGAGAGAGAGAGGGAAACCAAATGGAATGTTACGAGAGAAAAAAGAGTAATATTCACACACACACACACACATACATACATACAAACAGAAATAAACAAACAAGCATAGATATTATCAAAATAAACATATATATATGTATAAATGTAGATCATATGAATTAGGGTTTTGCTTTAATATTTATTTTGTAATTATGATCTTTATAATAAGAATAATATACGATCATAATCCCTCTTTGAGAAAAACCAAGAACTATATATTGATCCATTTGAACAATATATGCATATATATTGGTTGAATAGAAGTTCTAGAAGAGGAAAAGTTAGTTCATCTTAAAAGTAAACAATGAAGTAAGTTGTCAACAACAACAACAACAACAAGAAAAAGAAGAAGAAATATGCTATAATATCCTTCATATTAAGAATAAAATATAAGCGTAGAATATGTGTTTGTTTGGTTATCTATTACATAGATAGATAGATAGATAGATAGTAGATAGAGACACTTGCGAAGATTAATATTGACAAGACTACTCATAATATCTTGTTCATTGAATACACAATACCCATTGTCTTAAATGGTAATGTATGAAAGAAAAGTGAAGAGAACTATAAGGTAGGTAGGTAGAAGAATAAAGCCATAAAACAATGATAATAATAATAATAATAATAATAAATGATAATTTACCGGCTTTTATTGCATGTCATTTGTATATCTGTGATAGAGTTAAATAATAAATAAATTAGAGATTATAAACAATAATATATGATGATGGGATGATGTTTGTCTCCATCAAGTTGTTAACTTCACTAGTGTAGTTGACGAATGCTTTTTAATCTATAGTATATTGAATATAAGAAATAAGTATAATTGGTCGAATCATGATAGATATCTTTGTATTTGTACTTTTGCTGTTATTATTATTATCATCATCAGTGTTGTAATATGTGTACAATTTGTTGAATATGAGGAAATATTAGGCTATCTTTCATTGCCACAATGTTTAAGTCATAATACATTGACATTTTCTTTTGCTTACAAGACACTACTAACACATACACAACGACAAGAAGAAGAAGAAGAAGAAGGAAAACAATTGATTTCTAAGATGGTAACGGATTAATCACTTCAACATAATTCACTGGAAAATAACCTTTACGACCATTTAATTCACCTTCAAACCAATTTTCATCAACACGTAATATTAAACTAATTATATCACCTTCAGAGAATGATAATTCCGATTCATTTTCTGCTTCAAAATCAAATAATGCTTTACAAGATGGTCCTAAAACTACAATAATAATAATAGTGATAAATCAATATGAAATTTGAACATACTTATATAATATCAATGGAGTTATGGTTACTAAGTGAATCGATCAATCTATCTAACTGCGATCAAAAAGTGATATACTTTCGAAACCTATGCTAATTGTATTGGTTTTGAGCAATCAGATAGTATCATAAGTCCTCGTATAAAACCCTTGGTTCAAAAAAACAAACAGTGGATTTACTATGTTACCGATTTAATGAATTAAACTAAGTTATTCAACGCTTCCTAGTTTTTAAGTGATGTCTAGTTAGAATCAGTCCTTGATTTAAACTATGAAATACGACAAGTTTCACAAAAATCTTCATGCTAATAATAATCAGGCGTCTATTAGTGACTAACTGAGAAGTATTTCTTGGAATTTCGTTAGAAAATTGTAACCAGTGAAAGTTCACTACACCAGAGATGAGACAACTATCACCAACGACAATGGATAATAAGATGATAATATCATGAATTTACTGTAGCAAAAATCTAGACTGATGAATGCTCACTTACCGGTCTAAACGTTAATTACGAGGTGTAGAGTCTTCTGGGCTCGATGCCGGGGAGAGTGGTAAATGTATACTGATGAAGAATCCCATACTAGCATAGAACATGGATTTTCCCAGTTTCTAGACGTTATGTTATGCAAACCACAAAATAAAGCCTCAATTTACGTTTCTCAGTAAGCCTTCATCATAGTGAATCTTAAGGAACGTTAAAATTCGTTTTTTTTTACTTCTATCCTCTATATTAGATTATAACTTTACACAGTAAACGACCTTTTTCGAAGTGAATAATAAGTTTCCTATACCTTGTGCCAAAAAATTTCGATAAAAAGACCCATTCGTTTAGATTAATTTACGTCCAGGTCCTTTACCAGATCATTAATTTTGATATATCTAATACTACCTTACCAACTACAGACGTTAATATCGTCACTTTTGAACCACATTTTTGTGCGTGTGAGCCTACTGATACTATTTGAGTCCCTAAACCGAAATAGATGGAGCAAGGTTTGAATCTGTCGGCGAATATTTTCAGCATTCAGTCATCATTCTCTTATTTCTTTGATTTCCTATTTACTGTATAATGAAACCAAAGAAATTAGAAAATCTAATAAGTACGTTATTTATACTGTTATGTCCCTATAAGCATCCACTCTCTGTGTTCTCCCAGATTCTAATCTTCTGAATTCTTCATGTCCCTTTTTTCCTCCTTCCAAATTTATTTCAGTGTATTATACTCTTTAAATAACATCTCCAAACCCTAATCTTCCCGATTACTGCTTATACTCTTGCTACCTTTACCACTACGGGATTGAATCGACAACTGCATCTCTGTGCTAATGTGGTGTGGCAACTCGAACTGATGTACGTACGTACGAAGTTCTACATTGTTACTGACTGACTGACTGACCCTATAAGCATAATGAATGGTAGCTTTTGTGATCCATTTATGGATCAATACTATACGTATATTTTTATCGTATAATTATTAAGTAACTAAACTATTCATATTCATATCCCTCTTATTAATAGCTTTATTTTGACCTATGAACTATTATTATAGGATTTACCATTCTTGAATTATGCCCAGTCTATTAAACACTGCCACCTACATTCACAGCCACTTTTGGCCAAATCTTGTATAAATGTTGTTTCCTATGATATTGGTACGATGTGGTCTGCCTGGTTGGTATATAAACTCAGTATGTTTGAAATAAATGACTCTTATCGCAGAGGCTGAGATTGGTGTTCTGGACTTAAATGGCTGAACTAGGCAGGAAGCAGAACCGATAAGGACACTGAATTGCTCGTACGAGTTTTATGAGTCATTGGTCCGGTCGATAATTCATTGCTCTCCAATTGGCGGTATCATTAAGTATACATTAACAGGGCACTCAGACTACAAGTTATAACATATACAAAACTCATTCATAAAAATTGAATGCTGATTGATATTAAGCTTTTGAATTATGTGTAAACAAAATCAAAAATAAGTTATCATGAGTTTGATTAGTTCGTTACTATAGTAAAAAGGGTTTTTTTGTTCATCAATTGATAGTGTATAGATTAATTGATCATTGGTCATATATATTCATAATTCCATAAGATGATGAATAACTTAGTTAAGAATAGTAAATGAATGGTATCAATAATGGTGATTTAATGATATTCAAACACTTATTTATATTCCCTTTAACTTATTTTCAATCAATTCATTGCTATACTGTGATGTAGAGATTACTTATATCCACATAAGTAGTACATAACGGTGGCCAGGCATAGAATGTATTTCCGTAGAAGATCGATAAGGGAAGAACAATGAAATCTGAGACAACGGACTGATATTTGCTAAAGAAACAGTGAAGTTTTAAGACGATGGATTGATATTTTGGTAAGATGCTCTGTAATTTCGTGTTAAATACATTCGATGTTCTTGTACACGACAATACGATCATAAGATTGAATGTTTTGATATATAAATAATGGATTTAGTCAGTCAATTGATAATAACTTCCTTTGGAATTTTCTTCTTTCGACTGGAGTGATAATGACTAGTTAGTAGTCAAAGTATTTGATTTTTATTGATTAAACTAATCAGAAGGGGTTTGTGGAGATTTTAGAAATTTCAGATTGAAATCATGAGTCAATTGAAGCTAGACCACCATGGAAAACCTGGAAGCACTGGACAACCATTTCGCCCTAGTACGAGACTATTCAGCAGTGCTCATCCAAGATCCCGCACCTCGCGAGATTCGAGCCCAGGACCTATCAGTCTCGTGCCAAGCGCCTGACCAACTAGACCACTGAGCCGGCATCCAATGGTGTTAATGTCTAACTTCAACCAATCCACGAATCTCGCGGTATGCTCGATCGTGGATGAGCACCGCTGAGGAGTCCCATACTAGGACGATACGGCCGTCCAGTGCTCCCAGGTTTTCCATGGTGGTCTAGCTTCAATTGACTCATGATTAAACTAATGTTATGAAATTGTATCCCATACATTTTTTGGTTTAAGAAGTCTGATAGCATCACTAATTCTCATTACATAAACCAGTGTGATTATAGAAGCAAACTATATAAAACTCTATTTGATGAATTACACTATGAAAGAGAAGACCAATTCTAATTTCCGATGATAATTTCCTTTCAATGATATGAATGCCAATATCCCCTAAATAATGACTGGATACCTCAATTACTGTGGAAATATTTGGGCATGAAAATGAAAGCCTTTTTGGTTGTTTATCTATTTGATAATGTAATGATGAAATCTTTTTTTTCCATGTTTTGAACGCGCTACACAACAGCTACTGTTTAAGTCAAATTATCTAGTTCACTTCATACATACATATATAATAAAAATCTCCACAAAACCCCTACTGATAATAACCAACATTTGCTCATTAGTGACTGGCTTCACGAGGTATATCCTGGAGTTCTAGTGAGAGGTAGTGACCAGTGGAGTTCAACCGTGTCTGTTGTGAGATAGTAACTCACTGATGACAATAGTGGATATGTCGCTCAATTTCGTGGATTAGTTCAAGTTAGATCTGGATGCCGACCAGCTCAGTGGTCTAGACTTTAAGCGCTCGCGTGCGAGACTGATAGGTCCTAGGTTCGAATATCACGAGTCGGAATCGTGGATGCTCACTTCTGAGGAGTCCTACAATAAAACGAAACAGCTGTTAAGTCCTTCTAAGTTTTCCATGGCGGTCTAGCTTCAATGGACTCATGAATTCAACTATATATATAATACCATAACATTTCATATTTCAATGCTTAGTTACAAACTGTCAACAACAGATGAATTAACAATGTTTAGATTGTTATTTGGACGTAAAAAAACAATTTATTTTACATGCCAGATTGAATTAGGAACTAACTTTGCAATTCATTACATTTAGCTCACTTTCGAAACTATTACCATTTATCTAGAAGAATAGTTTGTAATACATATCAATACAAACACATACATTGACAACCAAAAAACCCGACAAACTTGAAATCAAACTAATAATTCATTCACAGTAACCAATATATATCAGAATAAAACGAGAATCAATATAATTGACAAGACAAACAATAATATCTAATACACTAATTCTCAAAATTGAACAAACTCAACGAACCAATTAGATTATAGTTAGAGAGAGACATATACAATGATGACATTGGAAGTAAAGGCAGTAAGAGGAATGGAGAGAGAGAGAGAGAGACAGAAAGAGGAGATACTTTCATTCTCTCCCATTCAATCCATCTCACTATGTATGTATCTAGCTATAGATGTATTAAGTAATATAGGGATAGAAAAGGAGATCAATAAATGTTATGATTGATTTCTGTAAATATTACCTAATAAAAATTCAAAGAGATAGAGTTGAATAACATATCTAAATAAATAAGAGATGTAGATTGTGGATGATATCAGCAGTGGAATCTAGAGTATAGCGTATTTTTATATTTAGCACTCGTCAGATGGATAATATACAATTATCTGTATTCGTATTAATGTTGACAATACGATTCAAATACACTAATGCGTTATTTACTAGGCCAATGAGTTCAGATAGCCAATGGTTAGTTCGAAACCGGGGAAAATGTAAATTAATAGTTGAATTCATGAGTCAATTAAAGCTAGACCACTATAGAAAACCTGGAAGCACTGGACGGCCGTTTCATCCTTTTATGGGACTCCTCGGCAGTGCGCATACACGATCCCATCCCGTGAGATTCGAATCCAGTAACTACCGATTTATCGCGCCAATACATAACCCTTAGATCAATGAGCCGACACCCTACTCCCTTCTGATAATAATCATCATCTACCAACTAGTGACTGACTTCAAGAGCAGTTTTCTGAAGTTCTAATGAGAAACAGTAACCATTAAAGTTCGACCAGGTCTGTTGTGAGATAGTAACTCACTGAAGACAACACCGTTAAGTACGAATTTCGTGGATGTGCATACTGGGACGAAACAGCCATTCAATGCTTTCAGGTTTTCTATAGTGATCTACCTTCAATTGATTCATGAATTCAACGATTATATTACTAAAATCTCTACAAAACCCTCCTTCTGATAAATTGTTGTAAAAAATTAGTACATTTTTTTTTCTTAAAAAGTAGTTTACAACGTGTATCAAATTATGAGATTTAGATTTAATAAAATAGAAAACAGAACAAACTTACTAGGTAGATTCTTTGTTGTATGAGGACTTGGACCGTTTTTAGTTGGAGTATTTAAAGTACTATTTAATGGACTTTTGCTCCCTGATATATCATGATTTAATGTGACATTTACACGTTTTACTTCGTATACTTTATGTGGTTTTGACATTGTTTCTTCTTTCCTATTGAAACAATAGTAGTGATAATGATAATAATAATAATACAGGAAATTTGTTAGAAGAGTGTGTAAAACAACTTCTTTATACTTCAGCAAAAAGAAATTGAGCTCCCACTTTATCAGGTTAGATTTTAAATGAAAGTAAACTAAGGAGTTGTTGTACAATTGGTCAGGAGTGAAAATAATCAGTTAGTCAATAAACAACGGATCGGTCATACGACAACAACAGAAGAAGAAAGACAAATGTCAGAGTAGTACAAGTAGTAACTGTGTCAGTAGTGGTAGAAGAAATTAAGTATGGTAAAAGGGACTCAGATTATAAAAGAAGACAAGAAGTGAATGCACTCACTCTCTATTACCCAGTCTCTAACCTTTATTCACGGTAATTACGCGAACCTCGACTAAGTAGTCCATACCCACCAAGATGAACCAGAATAATAATTAATGACTTCATAGACCAACGCGATGTCTTGATTTGGCTGCCCTTACCTTTCTTCCAACATTTTTCCTCACAGGTCATGATCGTGTGTCAAGGTAAGTGGTGGTAAGACACAGGTAATATATATCTAAACCACCAAAATCGATAGAGATTCGCAACCTTGCGTCTAACCTTAGCATTGCTCACTCGATGTTCCCAACATAAGCAAGTAGTGCTTCAAATGGGTCTATAATCAAATGCTAGCAACTTATTAATATCCTGTAATCTTAAAAGTTGAGTTTCACGATCATATAGTAGAACAGAACAAATCATTATGTAGTATACTTGTTCATTGGTTGGTGGATGAACATAGCGCCTACATCACAAGTGATGTTAGTTATTATAAGTCAACTGAATTGTCTCTAGTGGATAAAAGTTAAAAACCTTATGAACTGACAAACTGGTTTTCAACTTCAGGGGTTCACACTCAATCTTTGAAATACAAACGAGAAATAGAAATGAGTCAGGGTAATTACCAGTCAAAAAACATAAGTCTTGCCTTATGTACAAAATAATCAATAGTATATATACTCATAATCTTTGTTACGAGTCCAATTAAAAACATTGCAATGAGTATGTTAACTTTGTAACTAACCAATTATATCATTAAAGTTTATTACTTCAAATAATATCTAATTACTTCTGCTACAACTTGCTATCAAAATAATTCACTTCACACAAATAAGGAAAGGAATTAGTTAGGAAAATAATGGAGAAAAGTATAACAGGAAACACAATGAAGATGAGAATAAAATTAATGAAAACTTCCTTCAATTAATCAAGATACTTGGATTATTATGAAGAGTGTAATAGAAAATTAAACCAGGTTCTGTACTGACCAATATTCTGGACTGTACCTGACAACTTCACGAACGAGTGAAATGAAAGAAACCTAGGCTTTAAAGTGGCGAGTTATTGTAGACCATGAGATGGTAATTCTTCTTTACATATCATGAAATCATGTCATAAACTGACCACCTCTTTGCTTTCTCACCCGAAACGTTGAGAAATAATGGTAACATCAGTCGAATTAATGTCACTGAGCACGACATAAATGATCAAATCTCAGGATTACTAAGGTGGTGTTGCCGCCGGATCTCCATAACCCTTCGAGGACAACAACGGTTGAACACAGAGCTACAGAGTGTCCTTAATTCAGAGAGGCAAGGTTTCATAAAGCAAAGTGATCTCACTGACGCTTTGTAAATCGGACTGTTAACTACAACCAGAATAGCATAATCAAGGGACCGAAGATGACCGAGAATGCTTTTGATCTGTTGTGCAAAACAACATTTATGACCGATCAGACCTGCTTAAAGGGGTTTGATTTTAAATTCATTCACCTTATGAACAGACGACTAATAGACAGCTCATGAGCTGGACAGTGGCTTGATTGGAGTTTTAGATTTGCTACAACCCCGCTTTTTACAATATAAGTGTGAAGCCCAAGCCTTCGTGTTTCATACAGTAAATGAAGGTCAATATCACTACTTTACATTTCTGAGTTAAAAATCCAATAATAATGAAGATCAGTATAGAGGTCTGTGTAAATTACTGAATGTTATTGATATCATGAATCAGCCGAAGTTAGAAGCAATAGTCGGCCGTTTCGTCCCAGCAGTAGGCATCGATGATCCCCCATCACTCTCTTAACAAAAGCTTAACCTTTCAATCACTGAACCGGTATACGGTCCCTTACATGTCTAACTTCAATTAATTTGTAATAATATTCAACCATCTTCTGGGTACAACCACTGACGGTGATTGACTCGCACCTGAAATGGTTTAATTCTCATTGATCATGTTGTCCCATGAAAGTATACGACCGATTCTTTGTGTTTCAATGATTGTTGAACTGAGATCAGATTATGATGTGAAATTATGAAATTCAATAATGTACACAAACCCAGTAATAGGAAAATGAGAAGAGTTATGCTCTAAAATAACCACCATCACCACCACCAACAATAACAAAGCATAGTGTAATAACAGATATACAAACAATAAATCAAAACTCCCATTTTATTATTTATCCCCTTATTGGTAATTTCATTTATTTTTCAGAAGTAGGTAAGACATTTTACATAGAAACAATCAATACGAACATTGTAAAACGGAAGTACATACACATACATACACACACACACAATAAACTTGCGTAATAAAGTGAACAACATACACAGATACTATAAGATTCATTGAATTAATAGAAAAATGCTTTTGAATAGCAACTTTGTTTTGTTTTGTTTGTTTGTTTTTTATAGTGTAGAACATAAGAAAGAAAGAAAGAAAAAAAAGAAACTTATGTAGTTGCTTCTATAGTAACTCAGAGATATGTCTCTATCTTTATATTTTTTTTCTTATGGAAAACAAAAACCTAACAATTTCTCATCACATGAATAAAACATAAGTTTATGTGTAACTATGACCGAGTATGTATGATTAGTATATAGTTTGAGTAGAATTGAAGAAAAGATTTGAAATAGTTTATTTTAGGCAAATTATATTCTCTTTCTTCTCTCTCATTCACTCTCTATACGTGTGTATCGATATGTACAGTGAATACGGCATATATAAACAAGGACAAACGAAATACACTGGGAGTTGGAAGAAGAAGAAGGAGGAGGAAGAAGAAAAAGAAGAAGAGGGTATAATACATGAAGAAGACAGATAAATTTCAATATAAATCAATGACATAGAAATTGCATCCATGCATAAGTAGTAGTAAGAAGATGAAAGGTATAGAGTAAAACTCTTATCGAAAAGAATAAATATGAAAACTATAAATGACATTAAATCTATAAAATGATATTAATCATTAGAAGATTAAATAGAATATATGTATGTGCCAGTATAACTTACTTACTTAAGCCTGTTACTCCTCGTGAAAGAGCATTGGCCACTCAACAGCATTCTCCATACAACCCTATCCTGGACAATACTTTCCAGCTACTTCCAGTTGTTATTCATCCTTTTCATATCTGCTTCTATTTCTCGACGTAATGTGTTTTTTGGACTTCCTCTTCTCCGCTTCCTTTCAGGATTCCAAGTTAGGGCTTGTCTCGTGATGTAGTTTGACGATTTGCGTAATGTATGTCCTATACATTTCCATCGTCATTTCCTAATTTCCTCTTCAGCTGGAAACTGGTTTGTTTTCTCCCACAAAAGGCTGTTGCTGATAGTATCCGACCAATGGATGTTGAGAATCTTGCGTAGACAACCATTTATAAATACTTGTACATTCTTGATGGTGGTTGTTGTAGTTCTCCACGTTTCAGCTCTGTACAGTAGAACTGCCTTGACGTTCGTATGGAAGATCCTGACCTTGATATTGGTTGAAAGATAGTTGTTTTGAGTTCCATATGTTCTTCAATTGTAGTAATGTGGTTCTTGCTTTGCCAATCCTCGTCTTTACGTCTGCATCTGAACCTCCTTGTTCATCGATGATGCTTTCCAGGTATGTGAAGAATTCTACATCTTCCAGAGTTTCGCCACCAGCAGTGATTGGATCGCTGTTCTTCGTTTTGAATTTGAGGACCTTGGTTTTCCCCTTGTGTATGTTGAGGTCTACTGATGCAGAGACTGCTGCTACACTGGCTGTCTTTATCTGCATTTGTTTGTGTGTATGCGATAGGAGGGCTAGGTCATCTGCGAAGTCCGAATCGTCCTCCTGTAACTCTTCCAGAGTTGCTGCCGGTCCCAAGCCCGGGTAAATGAGGAGGCTTGGGTATGGGGTTAGCGACCCCATCCTGTAGAAAACTAACTCGCTAAAAAACGCTTAACCAGAAATGTGCCAGTATAGCTTATGTAATTGATAGACCTAAATGAACTAATATTGAGAAATAATTCTCATTTTGTATAAATTATAGAATAGATGGAACAAATCACATGTCGTCACACAGTAAAATATTATAGACAAACTGTTGTGAGTTGTAATGAATTATTTAACTAAAGTTCTTTGCTTACATGACCTTCTTCCATTTGAATTAATAGTTCTACAACCAATACATACATATGAGTTAAAGGGTAGAATCACTTGATCTTTAGTAGTAATACGTCGTATGGAGCGCATACGAGTGTCCATTTATTTGAATACATTAAACGTCAAAAAGAAAATCAAACAGATTTAATTCAAAGTGTACAGATTGAACCTAAAGATTTTGAGTTATTTTGGGATTCGTGAGACGAAGATGTAGCTACAAGAGAGCAGATGTATTAATCCAGTTCAAGCATTGATTCAATAACAATAAACTTCGGCCAACAAACGAGAATAACACTTAAAGACTATTGGTCTAGAGAGCGATTCTCACACAACTGCTCGCCCAACAGTCACGATAGAGCACAATACAAAATGTAGAGAGCCTCTCAGTGCATAAATCAACACGACTCAATCCATACAACAAATGTAGACTAAAATGTTGACGACGCATCAATATAATTAAGAGACCAAAATAACAGGAAAACTAGGAAGTGGGAAGAATTGAGTCAAAGGTATGTAAAAAATCACCAGTATACTACATAATAACAGCTTATGTATCGCGAAAATAATTACAAGTAGGACAATAAAAAAATACAGTAATTAAAATATTTAATGGCTTTACAACAAAAATATAAACAATAACATGATATAGGACAGTTCCGAAAATAGAGAAGTAAGTGATTGGTGATAGTGAAAGTAAGATATGATTGGACAAACAGCCACAGCCTACGAACTATCAAGCATGTGATCCTCTTTCATTGATTTTTACTCCGAAATCATTGAGTTTGACTGCTTGTAATTGCGTTGAATAAAGTATTACTTAGTGTTAAATCTGGTTCTAAAAACTGGGCCGTGAATCCTGGTTCTGATATAACGTAATTAGCATTGTGGTCTGTGCTGCTGATGTCGATAGATATAGGTAGTATGTATCATCAATAGAAAGTGAAATGCCTGATAGCGGAAGGTTAAAAAGATCGAAGAAAAAAGAACGATAACAGAGAATGATTGCTATGGAAACAAAGGAACAATGAAGCCTGAGACGATTGATTGACTTTTCACAATTGAAGTTGATGTTTGAAAAAGAAAAATATTTTAGAAATTAAGTCATTTAGTTAAAAGAAAACTTGATAGGCTATTATTTTTATTCTTCAACATTATGTCGTAGAGAGTTGGGAAAGTCAGCTCTCCCTCTCCAAATGCTTTCATATGGCCACACATATACAACCACTGTCAAGGAAGTCCTACTCATTAGCTTCTCGAGGTGAGAGGACGAAAAGTGAATGTTCGGCACTTTAACCGGGTTGGTGGATACAGAGGATCTATATAGGGGAGTTGGAAAACCTTGATTTCAAACTAATGGGCTGTGTGGAGTTAACGACTGAATGAGTTATTAATTTACGTAAATGTTGGAAACCGTAATTTGGGTCAGATTCAATTCTGCTTGGGTCTGGGTATGAAATAAGGGACGCAGATGTATGATAGCCAATATGGTGAGTCACAACGATGTTAGTGATTTCACTACTAATGTGTCTGATAGCTTACGTGTTAAATATGATAAGAATGATAAAATAAATTCAGCAGTCAAGTTGAATAGGTCAGTCTTTAGACTTCAATTATAATAAGTGTACATTTCCAAGCATAACTACCAAATATAGGAACCGAAAATTGAGAAGCAAAAACAATCAGGGGATTTTTAAAAAATACAACAATTAGAAAGTGAGTAGGACATCCCCAGACTTCACACAAATAAGCAGATATGTAAGTTTACGGCCTAAAGCTTTTGTTTATTAAATTCATTACATAGTATCCTAGGAGATTATAAATGGAACTCTAACAGTTGCACAAAATAGGATAGTAGCAAGATAACAACAATATTCATAGTGTAATTTATGTGAAGTAAGCAGTAAATCATACATGCATCGTCGAAACTCAATATTACTATGGTGGTGTTGCCATCGGATGTCCATAACAACGATCGAATATAGAAGATTATCAAACACCCACAATTTAGAGAGAACAGGTTTCATAACCTTAATTGGTCTCATACCATACCGTTTACTACAGTTGGAATAGCATCATGATTTCATCAAACATGGGCCGAATTGAAGAAAACCACTCTGGGCTCCCACTATGCGTAAATTAACGTCATCTATGACGCCAGCACCACGAGCACACTCTTACAAAACTAACTAGATACATCAACTTTTAGATTAACCCTGAAGGATCATCAAAAGGGTAAATGAAGGAATATTCTCTCGTCACACTTGCAGAAACACCTCGTACTTGGCTGCAAAATACATCCCATATATCGATGTACATCAAACGTACTAAATACTTCTCTTGAAACAATTTTTTCTTCTTTTTAGACTGACTCACTTTAACTGAACTAATACAAGAATAGTGTCATACATTTAAAGCAAATTATATAAATTAACTTATTTAAGAGGTGTTGGGTACGAGCTAGTGACACCACTAGTTTACTCAAACCGAAGTAAGTGGAACAGGATTCGAACCTGAGACTAAGTGATTGAAAGTCGAACGTCGCAAGCACTGAGTATACAGCCAAAAATTTATTATAACAACAGCGAAACAGAATTTATTATCTGCCTCTTAGTGTTAGATTATTGAAGGTAGTTGGAAGAAAATTCTGATTGGATATTACGTGCTAATTTACATTAAACAACAACTAAATGTATTTGAAATCACGATGGGATTGATATCCTTGGGAGATTTGAACCTGCGTCAACCAGTTTTACTATCTGTGATATGCTACTAATTACTGAGTTATTGGAGGTAACAACTGACTTTTAGTGATTAACGTTAGTCAGTCAGCAACAACGTAGAACTTCGTACATATATACATCAGTTCGAGCTGCTATACCAAATCAGCACAGAGATGCTGTTGTCTATTCAAATCCCATAGTGGCAAAGGTAGTAAAAGTATAAGCAGTAATCGGAAACATTAGGATTTGAAGATGTTATTCAAGGAGTATAATCCAGTGAAATAAATTTGGAAAGAGAAAAAAAGACAACGTGGATTCGGGAGATTAGAATTTGGGAGAACACAAAGAGTAGATGCACCTGCGCACACCAATGCAAACGATTTTCACCCATGTCATTCAAGGTCTCTAACCGTCGGTTGCTATCATCTCGTGTATCCAAACCAGGTAGTCTACACCTACCAACATGGCTCAGTTCACTTGTCAGTGACTTCATGAACTTGTGCCGTGTTCTGGTCTGGCCACCTCTAGATTTCTCCCAACCTACTCCTATACCATTGAGCATCGCACGTCCAGGCAGTCGGTCGTTGGGCATACGTAACACGTGTCCCAGTCATCTCAACTGATGAAGTTTCACTACTTCATCAATTGATTTGGCATCCTTATCTAGTACCCGTTTGCTAACAATGCATTACTTACTCGGTGGTCCCAGGATATACGAGCAATGCATCCAAGACACTTATGATCGAATACTAGTAACCTACGAATATCCTCTATTCTTACCGATCATGTTTCACGCATTCTACTAGAATAGACAAAAAAAGAATGGGATTAATCATGATTTATATGTCACTTACTGCTGAAATAACCTTCATTGTTCAAATAACATATAAGATATATAAGGCTATCTAAAAAAACATGTTTCCACACTCAATATATGAAATCTACAACCACTAACTTCTGTGTACAGACAAGAAGCAAACTTTTCGGAAAAGAAATAGGAATATTCTATGGGGATTTTTAAACTGCTGAAATAGGAAACTATTGAATCACGTGGCATTAGATATTTGTTTAATTTATAGATGAATTTGATTGACAAATCCGCTAAAAAATTTCTAAAGACATAAAGTCTTTAATAGTATCTTTGTTTGAATAATGGAAACTTACAACTCATTCTCTCTTTATCAAATTGAAACAAAGATATTATTGTTGCCCCAAAAAACCCTGTTATGGCCGATAGTGGGGAGAGTCAACTCTCCTACTCGAAGTGCTCTCATCACATGGCCACGTGCATACAACTACTGCTATGGAAGTCCTACTCACTGCCTTCTCACTGCATAACCGTTGTTTACGAAATTAGGAGGACGAAAAGCGAATGACCGGCGCTTTAACCCGGTTGGTGGATATGGAGAGTCCACATAGGGGAGTTGGAAAACCTTCATTCCAAACCAAAGGTACATATGTACACCAGGATCCCAAGGGAACGGATGGCGTATGAACCTATTGCTGGTTGCTGGCTACCATCTGAATTTAATGATATTGCTCCACTGCCTTGTGGATCAGACGTTTAGGTCAAAGGCTCCGGTTGTGATCCACTAAGAAAATCACTTGTCTCGGTACCCGGGCAGTGTTCCAGCCCTCACACAAATCGAATGATTTATGTGGCGTATATCTATTTGGTGCCTCCTTGTACCAATATTTATGTGTTTGAATAAGTAAAATAAATAAGTTATAATATTAATGTCGGTGAAAACAGAATATAAACAGTAAACTTACTTTTCAATTAAAAATTTCCTCAATTGTTCCATAATCTCTGCAGCTTGACGATGATAATCCGCTTGTGATGTTGCAAATTCTAATAATGACTGCATATGGTCAGTCTAATTGTGAAAGATAATTAAAATGAATACATGAAATTTTATCAAGAATAGCGAACAGGTTAAGTCAATGAACTAATATTAAATAACTATTTAAAGAAAAAGTGAACGATTGAAGGTATTCAACTATAATCAATGTAGAACTTGCGAAATGTGTACTATTTCAACCTGTCATATCACATTAGTACAACAAAAATGAATACTAAAATGGTAGAATTGATACTACGATTATCAGTTATTCCCCACAATGCTTCTAGCCACTGATCAGGATAATCGCGCTGAACTTATCTAGGTAGTCCATAGTTCCAAACAAACCTTAATCTAACAGTTAATAGACTGATGTCAGAACTTGGTACGAAAGATTCAAGCTTTTTTTTCAACCAACTCCTACATTAGCCAATAATATGTATCAAGGTAGGCGATTGTTGGATACATAAGTACTGATACACATACAGACGATTATATTAAAAGTGGATGAAGTAAAACAATAGACAGAAACAATTATGAATGGAGAAATCAAAGGAGGTTATGAAAAATAATCAAGGAAAGCGGAAACTATTTTAAATGAAGATAATGATAACAGTTTAACATTAAATTAAAAACAAAACAATGATATATTTCTTTTATGTATAAAATTCAGACTACATTCCATATTACAACACAAAGCTTAAATTAATTTAAGGACTAGGAAAAGGAGAAATCTAAAGCTATAGTCAACTCCGATTACATACCATCACGGGAAACATTGTTCAAAATTATCTACAATGTTAAAAGAATTGGTTCGAAGGATTGGACGGGAAATATATGCACAATTGAAGCTATGGCATCCTTTACAAATCCCCACATTGAGAATAACTACAAACCACTATATACATAGCTCAATTCTACTCAATATCTCAAGTTATATAATCTATGCATCCTTAGAAATATGAACAATTGCATTGTAATACCATAGTTGTAAGATAAATTGCTTGGATTGAGACATAAAAAGAACAATTCCCTATTGAATAATAATGTGTATACCCAGTTGAAAACTCCGCCTGGAGCCCCTCTGAGGTTACTGTCGATCGCAAGCCCAGATAAAGGAGAGTTGGGTATGAGGTTAGCGACCTCAACCCGTAAAAAACTAACTCGCTAAAAAAACGCTAACCAGAAAAAATTATTCGAACGTTTTAAACTCTACGCTGGAAATCAGAAGGTCTTCATTTGGAAGAGTTATGACGCCTCATGGCGAAAACCGAGTTCCTTCGGAAATTACGAGGCCGATGCCCCTTCTGACAACCAGAGCAACCACTTATTTAGGTACATAGAATGCTCGTACAATATAGGAGACCGGGAGAGTCTTCCAAATTGCTGCAGAAATTGGGAGATACAACCTAGAGGTACTTGGGGTCAGTGAAATACATTGGACGCAAGTTGGACAACAACGACTAACTTCAGGGGAGCTCCTGTTATACTCCGACCATGAAGAAGAATATGCTCCACATACACAAGGAGTTGCATTGATGCTGTCCAAACAAGCACAAAAGAGGGCATTTTAATGAACATCATCCAATGCTATGCGCCTATCAACGACTACAATGAAGACGTTAAAGATAAATTCTACGATAGGCTACAGTCAATCGTTGAGAAGTGTCCAACAAAGGACCTGACCATTCTGATGGGAGATTTAAATGCCAAGGTTGGAATGGACAATACCGGATGTGAAGACATCATGAGACGGCACGGACTGAGAGAAAGGAACGAAAACCTTTGCACACCTATGTGCCCTCAATGAACTGGTCATAGGCGGCACTGTATTCCCACACAAACGCATACACAAAAGTAAATGGACTTCACTGGATCACATTACACAGAACCAAATCGACCATATCTGTATCAACAAAAAGTTCAAGAGGACAATGGAGGATGTAAGAATCAAGAGAGGAGCTGATATAGCATCAGATCATCACTTACTTGTCGCCAAGATGAAATTGAAACTCAAGAAACACTGGAAAATGGGGCGGACAACATCACAAGCGTTCAACACGGCCTTTCTTCAGGAGACTGATAAATTCAACAAATTCAAGATAGCTCTCAGCAATAGGTTCCAGGCATTTTGTGATCTACTCAATGTAGAGGAAACTACAGTGGAAAGCAACTGGAAGGGGATAAAAGAAGCAACCACTTCAACATGTCATGAGGTTTTGGGTCACAAGAAACACTACCACAAGGAATGGATCACTGTTGATACACTGGATAAGATTCAAGAAAGGAGAAACAAGAAGGCAGCAATCAATACCAGTCGAACAAGAGCAGAAAATGCCAAGGCACAGGCTGAATACACAGAAGTAAATAAACAAGTGAAGAGGAGCATCAGAACCGACAAACACAAATATGTGGAGGATTTGGTAATGACGGCGGAAAAGGCTGCAACAGAAGGAAACATGAGACAATTGTATGGCACAACAAACAAACTTGCTGGGAATTATCGTAAACCAGAACGACCAGTGAAAAGCAAGGAGGGCGAGGTAATCACCAACACTGAAGAACAACGAAACAGGTGGGTTGAGCATTACAAAGAACTCTTGAATTGACCAGCTCCACTGAACCCACCCAATATCGAAGTAGCACCCACGGACCTCCCAATCAATGTTGGCCCACCAACAACTGAAGAAATCAGCATGGCCATCAAACAAATCAAGAATGGCAAAGCAACAGGACCACACAACATTCCAGCAGAGGCACTAAAAGCAGACGTGGTGGCAACTGCAAGGATACTCCACATTCTCTTCAATAAGATTTGGGATGAAGAACAAGTACCAACAGACTGGAAAGAAGGGTACTCGGTCAAGGTACCAAAGAAATGCGATCTCAGCAAGTGTGATAACTACAGGGGCATCACTGTTCTCTCAATACCAGGAAACGTTTTCAACAAGGTATTGTTAAACAGAATGAAGGACTCCGTAGATACCTAACTTCGAGACCAATGGGCTGGATTCCGTAAGGATCGATCGTGTACAGACCGAATCGCAACACTACTGATCATTGTGGAACAATCAATTGAATGGAAGTCATCACTCTACATCAACTTCATTGATTACGAGAAAGCATTTGATAGCGTGGACAGGACAACATTATGGAAGCTTCTTCGATACTACGGCGCGCCTCAGAAGATAGTCAATATCATATAGAACTCATATGATGGATTACACTGCAAAATTCTGCATGGAGGACAATTGACAGATTCGTTCGAGGTAAAGACCGGTGTCAGGCAAGGTTGCTCACTCTCACCCTTTCTCTTTCTCCTGGTGACCGACTTGATCATGAAGACGTCAACATCTGAAGGGATGCAGCTGGACGATCTAGACATCGCAGATGATCTGGCCCTTCTATCGCAATCGCAACAACAAATGCAGGAGAAAAAGACCAGTGTAGCAGCAGCAGTTGGTCTCAATATACACAAAGGGAAAAGCAAGATTCTCCGGTACAACACAGCATGCACCAATCCAGTCACACTTGGCGGAGAATCTTAAGAAGGTGTAAAAACCGTTACATATTTGGGCAGCATCATTGATCAACATGGTGGGTCTGATGCAGAGCAGCATATTTACAACTGAAGAACATCTGGAACTCAAAACAACTGTCAACCATCACCAAAGTCACAATTTTCAATACAAATGTCAAAACAGTTCTACTTTATGAGGTGGAAACTTTGAGAACTACGAAAGCCATTATCCAGAAGATACAGGTGTTTATTAACGGTTGCCTACGCAAAATACTTCGGATCCGTTGGCCGGACACTATTAGCAACAACCAACTGTGGGAAAGAACAAACCAGATCCAAGCGGAGGAAGAAATTAAGAAGAAGCGCTGGAAGTGGATAGGACACACATTGAGAAAAGCACTCAACTGTGTCACAAGACAAGTCCTCACATGGAATCCTCAAGGTCAAAGGAAGACAGGAAGACCAAAGAACACATTACGCTGAGAAATGGAGACAGACATGAGAAGAATGAACAAAAAATCGATAGAACTGGAAAGGAAGGCCCATGACAAAGTGTGTTGGGAATGCTGGTTGACGGCCTGTGCTCCATTAGGAGTAACAGACGTAAGTAAGTAAGTAATACCCAGTTTAAGAAACTTGAACCAGTATGAAACAGATGTTTATCATTACCACCAGCCGATAAAAATCTATGATAAAAACTAACTTTACATTTGCGAAACAAATTCACAAAAGTCCAAATTGTATAACCTAGTTTTAATACACTTGAAGTTAACTAGAATAAGGGCAGCAAAGGGCAAATATAAAATGAGAAAAGTCCAAAACAAAATACCTCTGTAAAATATTGATCCTTTGTACAATTGTCTAACCAAACAATTAAACTACAACCTAAATTCAGGTGAACACCTCTTTGTAATGATCTTCTCTGTATAATATACTCGCAAAACTGGTTATACAGGTAACTTAATGAAACATAGATGAATATACAACTTAGGTTTCTGTCTGTGGCGGGCTAGTAAGAACGTTTTGAAAACAGTCAACTTGAATATTCGCCACCCGCCCTGGTACATTAATGGTTAATAAAATCTTGCCACGGAGTTAAAAATCTATCTTGACTTCCCCAATTATATATCTCATGCATGTGTGATATTCACTTCCTAATGGCAAAAGAATATACGCTGAGTAGAAGTTCATTCTGTTTAATTTAGATACAAAACATTTTCCAAATAAAGAACTGTTTCTCACGTCAGCTTTTGTGGCATTATTTGCAGACGCTGGGATTGGTTGGAAGAAGCGGAGAAGTGGTCAGTGTATGACATGGTGTCGTTGTATGAAAGGAAGCTGTGAAGGGCTGGCTTTTATTGGTCCTTCTAGACTCCCTAACTGGGGTCCGAGAGATGGTGTAACACAGTGGCTAGAGACGTTATCAGATATGGCTTAGAATAGAAGCCAGTGGTGATCCTGCTGTAACCTTCTTTTACTTTCTTCATAAAAAGTGGTTGTAACTTCTTTGACTGAA